ATAGTAAATGGAATCGATTCTCTAATTTCCCTTTCTGTATTTTCATTGTTAGTGTATATCAAAGCCACTGATTTCTGTACATTGACTTTGTATCCTGCCACATTACTGAATTGCTGTATGAGTTCTAGTAGTTTGGGGGTGGAGTCTTTTGGGTTTTCCATATAAAGAATCATGTCATCTGTGAAGAGAGAGAGTTTGATTTCTTCATTGCCAATTTGGGTACCTTTTATTTGTCTTTGTTGTCTGATTGCTGTTGCTAGGACTTCTAACACTATTTTGAACAAAAGTGGTGAGAGTGGGCATCCTTGTCGTGTTCCTGATCTCAACGGGAAGGCTGCAAGCTTTTTCCCATTGAGGATGATATTTGCTGTGGGTCTTTCATAGATAGATTTTAGGAAGTTCAGGAATGTTCCCTCTATCCCTATACTTTGAAGCATTTTAATCAGGAACAGATGCTGGATTTTGTCAAATGCTTTTTCTGCATCAATTGAGAGGACCATTTGGGTCTTCTCTCTTCTCTTATTAATTTGCTCCATCACATTGATTGATTTGCAAATGTTGAACCATCCTTGTAGCCCAGGGATGAATTGCACCTGGTCATGGCGGATAAACTTTTGAATGTGCTGTTGGATCCTGTTTGCTAGGATCTTGTTGAGAATCTTAGCATCCATATTCATCACTGATATTGGTCTGAAATTATCCTTTTTGGTAGGGTCTTTGCCTGGTTTGGGGATCAGGGTAATGCTGGCTTCATAGAAAGAGTCTGGAAGTTTTCCTTCTGCTTCAATATTTTGAAACAGCTTCAGGAGAATAGGTGTTATTTCTTCTTTGAAAATTTGGTAGAATTCCCCAGGAAATCCGTCAGGTCCTGGGCTCTTGTTTTTTTTTTTTTTTTTTTGGGAGGTTTTTGATCACTGCTTCAATCTCGTGACTAGATATCTGTCTATTCAGGTTGTCAATTTCTTCCTGGTTCAATTTGGTGAGTTTATCGTTTTCCAAGAATGCATCCATTTCATCTAGGTTGCTTAGCTTATTGGCATATAACTGTTGATAATAACTTCTGATGATTGTTTCTACTTCCTTGGTGTTAGTTGTGATCTCTCCCTTTTCATTCATAATTTTATGAATTTGGGCTTTCTCTCTTTTCTTTTGGATTAGTGTGGCCAATGGTTTATCGATCTTATTGATTCATTCAAAAAACCAGCTTCTAGTTTCATTGATACGTTCTACTGTATCTCTGGTTTCTACCTCATTGATCTCTGCTCTAATCTTGATGATTTCCCTTCTTATGTGTGGAGTTGGTTTGATTTATTGTTGATTCTCCAGTTCTTTAAGGTGTAGAGACAGATGATGTGTTCTGGATTTTTCAATTATTTTGAGGGAGGCTTGGATGGCTATGTATTTCCCCCTTAGGTCCACCTTTGCTGTATCCCATAGGATTTGAACCGAAGTGTCTTCATTCTCATTAGTTTCCATGAATTGTTTCAGTTCTTCTTTGATCTCCTGGTTGATCCAAGCATTCTTAAGCAAGGTGGTCTTTAGCTTCCAGGTGTTTGAGTTCCTTCTGAACTTTTCCTTGTGATTGAGCTCCAGTTTCAAAGCATTGTGGCTCTGAGAATATGCAGGGAATAATCTCAGTCTTTTGGTATCAGTTGAGTCCTGATTTGTGACCCAGTATGTGGTCTATTCTGGAGAAGGTTCCATGGGCACTTGAGAAGAATGAGTGTTCTGTTTTTTAGGGTGGAATGTTCTGTATATATCTATGATGTCCATCTGGTCCAATGTGTCATTCAATGCTCTTGTTTCTTTATTGATTTTCTGCTTCAATGATCTGTCTATTTCTGAGAGAGGCATGTTAAGATCTCCTACTATTAATGTATTCCTATCAATATGACTCTTTATCTTGATTAACTGTTTTCTTATGTAATTGGCTGCTCCCATATTGGGGGCATAGATATTTACAATTGTTAGATCATCTTGGTGGATAGTCCCTTTAAGAATGATGTAGTGTCCTTCTGTATCTCTGACTACAGTCCTTAGTTTAAAATCTAATTTATCTGATATGAGAATCGCTACCCCAGCCTTCTTTTGAGGCCCATTGGCATGAAAGATGCTTCTCCATCCCTTTGCTTTCAGTCTGTGTTTATCTTTAGGTTCAAAATGTGTCTCTTGTAGACAACATATGGATGGTCCTGTCGTTTTATCCAATCTGCAACCCTGTGTCATTTGATGGGTGAATTTAGGCCATTCACATTGAGAGTGATTATTGATAGATACGTTTCCTGGTCCAGCTGCTCTTTCACAGGGGGTCCTGGGCTGGGACCCTTGTAACAACATGGATGGGACTGGAAGAGATTATGCTGAGTGAAATAAGTCAAGCAGAGAGAGTCAATTATCATATGGTCTCACTTATTTGTGGAGCATAACAAATAGCATGGAGGGCAAGGGGAGATGGAGAGGAGAAGGGATTTGAGGGAAATTGGAAGGTGAGGTGAACCCTGAGAGACTATGGACTCTGAAAAACAATCTGAGGTTTTTGAAGGGGTGAGGGATGGGAGGTTGGGGGAACCAGGTGGTGGTTATTAGAGAGGGCACGGATTGCATGGAGCACTGGGTGTGTTGCAAAAAGAATGAATACTGTTACGCCTAAAAGAAAAAGAAAATACAGGTAGTTCGCATAAACCTGCATCAGTTTCCCAATTCTTAACATTGGTCATCCAGAATGCATTACATTTAGCCATCATTTCTCCTTGGGCATCTATTTTTTAGGAAAGATTCTCAGTCTTTTATTCTTTTGAAGAACTTGATAATTTACAGAATTAATGGTCAGATATTTTGAAAAGTATTCTATCATTTGAAATTTGTCTGAGGGTTAACTCATGATTACACTAGGGTTATGGATCTTTTTTTTTTTGGCAGGGGGGAAACACACAGAGGTTGTCATTTTTATCACTTTATATCAAAGATACAAACTATCATTGTGACTTTGCACTGGTATTGAACATACGAATAAACTACTGTTTATAGTTTTCTCCATTGTAAAGTCATTGTTTTTCCTCCTTTCCACATTGTACTCTTTATAAGGGAGTTATCATGTGTAGCCCACAATTCACTATTGGTAAATTAGCTTCTGCTTCCTTGAGTATGGGATATCTATATAAATGATTGAAATATTTTTGGCACAGATTTTTCCATGTATTCATTAATTCGTTCATTCATTCATTTTTGCCAATGTGAGTTTTTTGAATTGGTTCTGGAGTTTATGAGATTAGTTCTCAAATATGAATAGATTTAAAAGACTAATAACTTTTATTTCCAGTAAGGAAGAGAACAATAGAGATCTGCAAAATATTACCATTTGATATTCCTACTAAAACAATGATAAAATGGGAGGATCTGGATGGCTGTGTATCTAATACTTCCAAATACTGTTTCAAACTAATAAATATACTGAGATTAATGGCCTGTTCCTAATGTCACTGAACAAAGTGGGGGAAAGAAGAAGATTAGCGCAATTGAATTCTTAGTTCAAATACCTCATAAATGATCTGAAAAGTTTTATGTGTGCCCTGAAGGGGACATTTATTTCCTGTATCTGTAAGGCTAGAGTTGCTGAACATCTTTCATCCTCTGACTGTCTACATTACAATGCAAGTTGGTTGGGTAGCCAAGTAGGAGGTCTACAGTTAAATTGAAACACTACTTGGGAAGGAATGGGATCCTGCATGTTGGAATGAGGACAAGTGGGAAGACCTTGATGAAGCTGGAGAATTGAACTCCTAAGTTTGATAAGTCTTCTTTGCCAATGGAAGCTGCCTCCCCACCCCAGTGGGTTTGACTTCCCCATCCTCAGTAACAAGGTCATCCACAGCCCCAGTGGTGTCATATTTACACTTCATTCTGAGGGTTTTCCCTACCTTACCTAGGGAAACTCATGGCTCCCCACAAAGCAGTTGCTGCCCAAGACAATGCTGTCTCCTCAAGTCTCATCCAAAACACTCCTTTCTGTTTCTAGCTACATAACTAGACTGAGATACCAGCAGACCCCTAAGGGTAAAGTGCAGACTGACCTGTAAGGAGGTGTGCTACACTCCATGAGAACTACTTGATTTTTCTAATTTATACAGACAAAAATCCAGGGAACATGTTTGGGAATGGATGTTTTAAGAGTGTGGGATAATGAGAGAAAGAACATAAAATTGGAACAGGCTGAATTTTTTATATGGGCTCACTAAGCAGATATTCTGCATTTAATGTTGCAGCTTGGGAACTTAGTTTATTTGGTTGAAACATGGACTAAATGTAGGCCACAGTGAGTGAGTTGGAAATGCCAGACCTGCTGTGGTTTAATGTAAAGTAAGGATTTAGAGGCTTAGGAAGATTGGAAGGTTAGAATGTATTTGACCAACTCATCCACACTGGAAGAGTCCAGAAGACACACATTTCACCAAGACTGATAAATACTTCTTGAGGGGAGTCTCAATATCCTTAAAGAGCTCTGTGATCTTCTCCTCGGGCTAGATCTTACAGCAGAAACTCAGCCATCAAATTGGGAAACCCAAATGAAGTGGGAACACTTGGATATGAGGATGGCAAGGACCAAGTGGCAACATCAACCACCAAAAGAAAAGTGGGGGTGGTTGCTGTGGTGGACAGCAGGGTGAAAGCCTCTATGGAATAGTCTGACTTGTTCTGATGTGTGGTGTGGTTATTTGGTCATGTTGTTGACAGAAGAGAAACAGGTAGAAAAACAACTAAATTCTTACTTGATCTGTATAAGCAGGAAGGTTCTAGGTTAAGTAAAGAAAATAAACCTTAATCAAAAATAGAATCTCAGATCCTCAAACCATTCATAGTAATTTATAGACTGGTTATACTCCCCCAAACTTATTCTATTTACCTTTACCCTTGCTTTCCCCATTAGGACCTTCAGCCTTTTACCAGGGTAACTGGCTAAATTTCAATTGCTTTGTCTCTTCTCTATCAGTTTCATCAGCTACATGGAACCAGAAAATCAAACATGTGTTTCAGAATTTATCCTCCTGGGGCTCTCAGAAGAGGTATTACTACAGCCCCTCCTCTTTGGACTGTTTCTGTCCATGTACCTGGTCACTTTTATTGGGAACTCGCTCATCATTCTGGTCATTATCACTGACACCCACCTCCACACACCTATGTATTTCTTTGTCTCTAACCTGTCCTTTGCTGACATCTGTTTCACCTCCACGACCATCCCCAAGATGCTGCTGAACATCCAGACACAGAGAAAAGTCATTACTTATGCAGAATGCATCACCCAAGTATACTTCTTCATGCTTTTTGGAGATCTGGATAACTTCCTCCTGACTGTGATGGCCTATGACCGGTTTGTGGCCATCTGTCATCCTCTCTACTACATGGTTATCATGAACTCCTGGGTCTGTGGGTTCCTGCTTATGTCATCCTGGATCATGACTGCCCTTCAGTCATTGTCACAGAGCTTAATGGTTTTGCGACTCTCTTTTTGTAATGATTTAGAAATCCCTCACTTTTTCTGTGAGCTTAATCAGTTGGTTCAACTTGCTTCTTCTGACACCTTTCTCAATGAGGTAGTGATGTATTTTGCTACTGGACTTGTTGGTGTTGTTCCACTCACTGTAATCCTCTTCTCTTACTCTAAGATTGCATCTTGCATTTTGAGAATCTCATCAGCTGAAGGCAAATGTAAAGCATTTTCCACGTGTGTGTCTCACCTATCAGTTGTCTCTTTGTTTTACTGCACAGCCCTTGGGGTGTATCTTAGTTCTGCTGCTACACAAAACTTCAGGGCAAGTGCCATAGCCTCAGTGATGTACACAGTGGTCACGCCCATGCTGAACCCTTTTATCTACAGTCTCAAAAACAAGGACATAAAGAAAGCCCTTAAAAGACTCTTTAGCCAAGAAACATTCTCTACATAGGGGTATTATTTGTGTGAAGATAGAGACTTGAACATGAGTCAAAATGCTCAAAACCCTAGAAGACCTAAATCATGGTAATATTATCATCTCACAGAATGATAATCTGCAATTTATGTTATCACAAGTATTCAGTCTCTTTAATGTTTCACACTTTATAAGTAACTGTTTCTTCTGTATTTTATTTAAAACTTTAAGCTCTCACTATATTTTTTGGGGGGGCAGTGTGGGAAATAGAATCCAGTGCATGAATTTTCAACAGAAAATATGTGTAATACAAGAGATTTGTTGCTTACAATATTATAGGAAGAACTAGAGGAATAAATGTGTGATGCTCCTTGTGCCAGATGAGAGCAGCTGCCCATCAGGTTATCTGCTCTCAAAGAAAATCCATTTGACATATCAAAGACTATACCAATTGTACTCATCCACTCTAGAGATTGAACACATTGCAATAGCAGAAGGAACAGGGCCACCATTGATAAAGTTTGTAAATCCACATTCACTCTCTAAGATCTATTTTTTTTTCTGCACATTCCAAAACATAAATCTGGCACAATAGAAATGACAACCCTTGATATTCAAGCATTGATAGTGTTGTTAATATTTGTCATTTTCCCAGGGATGCGTTGTTATTTTTTATGTTTTTGTAGGTAAGAACACTAACAGGAGATTTATCTTGGTACCTCCTACCATAATGTCCCTTCCTCAGATTATAAAAGCACTGTGGGCATTCTGCCATTTTCCGTCTCAGACTTTTCCATCTCTGCATGCCAGAAATTAGATCATGAGAGTATATAGTTATGGACCTGAAATATGCTTGTGAAACAGAACAAGTTAGGTTAAGTAAGGTTTTATCATCATCACCTGGCCCAGAAGTGATTTACTGGTTTGTATGCCATAGCGGTAATTTCCTATTTAGGAATTCCTGCTTCACAATTTTCTGATAAATTTCCACAGGTAGACAGACAGATAGACAGGTGAAAAGGAAGAAAGAAAGAATGAAGGAAAGAAAGAAAGGAAGGAAGGAAGGAAGGAAGGAAGGAAGGAAGGGAATTAGTTTTACAAATGAAAAGTAGAAAAATCCGTTATAATATTTGCCAATTTCCATAGTATAAATCTCTTACCTTGGCCAATTTTAAGCTACACATACTTTGGATCTACCAACACGGGGAGGGTGAGATGTTCATAGTTAGATGTCATAACCCATTTGGAGCCAGCTCCAACACATAAGCATCTTTGCTTAATAAGGTCAGGAGAAAAAAAAAAAGGAGCACTAGACTGTTGTAATTTTAGTGTTATAATGGTTAGTGTTCAGTGTTTTAGTTTAGTACTTTTTTCTTTTTTAATTTTTTTAAAAATTTTATTTTATTTTTTGAGTGTTCCAAGATTCATTGTTTATGCACCACATTCAGTGCTCCATGCAATGCGTGCACTCCTTAATGTCCATCACCAGGGTCACCCAACTCCCATCCCTCCTCCCCTCTAAAACCCTCAGTTTGTTTCTCAGGGTCCACAATCTCTCATGATTCATCTCCCTCTCTGATTTCCCCCAACTCACTTCTCCTCTCCAACTCCCAATGTCCTCTGTGTTATTCCTTATGCTCCACAAATAAGTGAAACCATATGATAATTGACTCTCTCTGCTTGACTTATTTCACTCAGCATACTCTCCTCCTGTCCCATATATGTTGATTAAAAAAAGTTAGTTATTCATCCTTTCTGATGGAGGCATAATATTCCATTGTATATATGGACCATATCTTCTTTATCCATTTATCTGTTCAAGGACATCTTGGTTCTTTCCACAATTTGGCGACTATAATCATTGCTGCTAAGAACATCGGGGTACATATGCCCTTTCTTTTCACTATATCTGTATATTTGGGGTAAGTACCCAGTAGTGCAATTGCAGGAAAATGGGAAGAAGTTATGAAGAAACACTTTCCCAAAGAAGATATACAAATGCCTAACATACACATGAAAAAATAGACCAAATCTTCTTTATCCATTTCTCTGTTGAAGGGCATCCCTGCTCTTCCCAGTTTGGCTATTGTGAACATTGCTACTGTAAGCATTGGGGTGCATGTGGTCCTTCTTTTCACTACATGTGTATCTTTGGGGTAAATACCCAGTAGTGCAATGCAGGATCATAAAGTGGCTCTATTTTTAACTTTTTGAGGATCCCATTTTCCAAAGTGGCTGTTTTCCAAAGTGGCTGCACCAACTTGCATTCCCACCAACAGTGCAAGAGTGTTCCCTTTTCTCCACAACTTCTTCAACATTCGTTGGTTCTTGCCTTGTTAATTTTTGCTATTCTAACTAGTGTAAGGTGATATCT